TTTCTAGTTAGTGACTTTAATAATTATAAGATGGAAGATTCAAGGTCTGTCACTGAACAGTACAATGAACTCCTTGGCATATACGGTCAGTTTAAACTGCATCATATGAATATGGATGAATCCATTGTTGTGTCCACTATCATTGACAAACTGCCTCCGTCCTGGAAAGACTTCAAACATAACTTGAAACATCAAAAAGAGGAGTTGTCATTGGTTCAACTTGCTAGTCACATTCGTATTGAAGAATCTCTTCGTGCGAAGAAAAGTGACAAATCTAAAAAACCCAAAGGAAAAGTTGAACCTGGACAGCCCTCGGTTCATATGGTTGAAAATAAACCAAGGAACCAGGACCACAAAGGACATGACAAACGTAAGCGGGAACATGTCCCAAGCAACTCCAACAAAAAGAGAAAGGATCGGGTTTGTTGGAGGTGCAATCAAGTTGGGCATTGCAAGCGTGATTGTCGTGTGAATTTGGGCAACAATGGTGCTGGAAACAGTGGAGCCAATGGGAAAGTGAACGGGTCTTCGGCCCAAGTTAAAGGAGGTCAGTTTTTGACTAACTTTGATAATTCTAATCAGAATTATGTTTATTATGTTTCATTTATCCGTGAATCATTCTATGTGCAGGATGATGATGTTGCTTGGTGGATCGACTCTGCAGCAACGAACCATGTATGCAAGGATAAACGGATGTTTGAAACATTAACTCCGCTTGAAGATGGGTCGGTGCTGAAAATGGGAGACGATTCTTTTATTCCTATTTGTGGTTTAGGTGTCGTGTGTCTTGAATTTACTTCTGGAAAGACAATTAGATTATTTGATGTTTTGTTTGTTCCCAAGATTCGCAAGAATCTTGTTAGCTCTAGTTGTTTGAATTCTGATGGTTTTAAACAAGTTATTGAGTCGGATAAGTTTGTTTTGTCTAAGGGTGGAATGTTTGTTGGCTTTGGATATTTAAATAATAGAATGTTTCGTTTAAATATTGTTGACAAATTATTACCTGTTCAGAATTCTGCATTTGTATCTTCTGCTTCTAATGTTGATAAATCTATGCTTTGGCATGTAAGATTAGGTCATGTCAACTTTAGAAGGATGCATTAGATGTCAAAAGATGGATTAATTCCAGCCTTTGATATGACATCTGATAAATGTAAAACATGCATGCTTACAAAAGTGACAAAATAGCCATTTCCTAGTGTTACTAGAAATTCAGCTGTTTTGGAACTTGTACACAGTGACCTGTGTGATTTTCACTCCACTCCTTCTTTGGGAAATAAAAAGTATGTGGTCACTTTTATTGATGACTGCACTCGGTTTTGCTATGTGTATTTGTTGCATTCTAAGGATGAAGCCTTAGATAAATTCAAAATATACAAAACCGAGGTGGAATTGCAATTGGGCATTCCGGTTAAATGTCTCAGGACTGATAGGGGAGGTGAATATATGGATCCCATATACTTCCAATCAGTGGGTATCATTCATGAGACCACGGCACCTTACACGCCTCAACGGAATGGTATTGCTGAATGCAAAAATCGAGTTTTAAAGGAAATGGTAAACTCGATGTTGTCTTACTCAGGATTGAGTGAAGGATTTTGGGGAGAGGCCATGTTAACGACCTGCTATCTATTGAATAGGGTTCCAAATAAAAGGAACAAAACAGTCCCATATGAACTTTGGTTCAAGAAAAAGCCGAATTTGAGTTATTTTCGGGTTTGGGGATGTCGGGCAGTTGTAAAACTCACCGAGCCCAAAAAGAAGAATTTGGGAGAACGTGGAATTGATTGCATATTCATTGGATATGCTGAACATTCCAAGGCATATAGGTTTTATGTAATAGAACCTAATGATTCGATTTCGGTTAACACTGTTATCGAATCACGAGATGCAATTGTTGATGAGATGCGGTTTTCATCGATTCAAAGGCCTAAGGATCTGACTTTTGGTGCTCTTAAAGAGCAAAATTCAGAAAGTCGAGATGGTGGTAATGTGCAAGAACCACAAGAGCTTCGTAAAAGCAAAAGAGGCAATATTGTGAAAAATTTCGGATCCGACTTCCAACTGTACTTGGTGGAAGGTTCAAGGGATGAAATTAGTCTTGAATACTCTTATTGCTATAGTATTGAAGATGATCCTAAGACTTATCAAGAGGCCATGGAGTCTCGTGATAGTGCCTTTTGGAAGGAAGCAATTGATGATGAAATGTCATCAATTCTTGAGAACAACACATGGGTGTTGTCTGATTTGCCTCCGGGGTTCTAAACCTCTTGGTTACAAATGGATTTTCAAAAAGAAAATGAATGTTAATGGGACTATTGACAAATTCAAAGCCCGGTTAGTCAATTCAAGGTTTTAGACAAAAACCCGGTATTGACTATTTTGATACGTATGCTCCAGTTGCACGTATTTCTACTATTAGATTGTTGGTTGCGTTGGCAAGTATCCACAATCTGGTTATTCACCAAATGGGTGTGAAAACAACCTTTTTAAATGGTGATCTTGACGAGGAAGTTTACATGAAACAACCAGAAGGTTTCATTATGCCCGGTAAAGAGCATATGGTTTGTAAACTTGTCAAATCTTTGTATGGGCTGAAACAAGCGCCTAAACAATGGCATCAAAAATTTGATGAGGTGATTTTGTCTTTTGGTTTCAAGACAAACCCATGTGACAAATGTGTTTATAGTAGATTTGATGATGCTACTAAAGCTGGGGTGATCATTTGCTTATATGTAGATGACATGTTGATTTTTGGTACCAACCAAAATCAAGTAGATGAAACAAAGAAATTGTTATCATCCAAGTTTTCCATGAAAGATTTAGGAGAGGCTGATGTAATTCTTGGAATAAGAATTAAGAGGATGAACAAAGGATTGGTAATGACTCAAAGTCATTATATTGAGAAAATTCTCAAGCGGTTTAATTTTACCGAGTGTTCTCCTGTGAGTACTCCTATGGACCCAAGTGTGAAATTAATGCCAAATAATGGTGTTCCCATTTCACAATTGGAATACTCTAAGGCTATTGGTAGCTTGATGTATGCCATGACAAGTACCAGACCTGATATTGCTTTCTGTGGGTAAGTTGAGCAGGTACACTAGCAATCCTAGTGCTCAACATTGGCAAGCAGTGAATAGAGTGTTTAAATATCTCAAGGAAACCATGAATTATGGTTTGAGTTATTTGGGGAGTCCTTCGGTTTTTAGAAGGTCATTCAGATGCAAGTTGGATTACCAACATGGAGGACCATTCCTCAACTTCTGGTTGGGTATTCTTGCTTGGGGGAGGTGCCATCTCTTGGGCTTCCAAGAAGCAATCTTGCATTACAAACTCGACAATGGAATCTGAGTTTGTTGCGTTAGCAGCTGCTGGTAAAGAAGCAGAGTGGCTAAGGAATTTAGTCTATGAGATTCCTTTGTGGTCTAAACTGATAGCACATATTTCTATTCTTTGTGATAGTGTTGCCGCTTTGGCTAAGGCATATAGCCAAGTTTATAATGGCAAGTCTAGACATCTAGGTGTTAGACATAGTATGATTAGAGAACTAATCATGAATGGTGTGATTTCGGTTGAGTTTGTGAAATCGCAACAAAATTTGGCAGATCACTTGACTAAAGGTCTGACAAGAGACTTAGTGCACAAGTCTATAATCGAGATGGGATTAAAGTCCATTTAATTCTATAATGATGAGACACCCAATTCCCTCCTAATATAATGTTAGGAGTTGAATTCAATGTGGAAAGCTCATACTTATAGATTGGAACACATGAAGTATTCATCCCAGGTATGTGTTTGGTTCTGCAAGTTAGCCAGGTTGAAGTTTAACTTCTTAATAATTCCTTTGATAAATGTATGTGCAGATACATGGAAAGGAGTTACCTACGTGATTGTGAAGTGTAGCCGCATTTCAAGAGGTTGTGGACTTGACCTTGATAGGATCATGAGAGGATTGGGACACACGGCTTTATAATAGTATCAAGTTGTATTATGCTAGAAATTCAATAAACTAGTATGTATTTTACTTTTTGGTATTCAAATGGGTTGATGGGTTCAATTCTTAGAACACCCTGATTCTCGAGTATTTGCAAATGTATGATACTAAGTGGAAATTCAATCATTTCGATATTTTCATTATGTACTAGTTTGGTTTGTTTGATAAAGGTTATGTTTGTTCAAGGGTTACACTAAAATGGGGGAGGATTGTTGGTGATTTTAGTGTCACCATGTCATTTTAAGTAACTGGAACTAACATGTGAGCTAAGGGGCTTTTCATAATTTGTACTTTATTATATGTACGGGGTTGTGCGGAGTGCACGCATGTATAAGATCGAATTAGAAGCCGGTTCGACGACTAGTCGGGGGTCCGGGGGCAGCGCCCCCGGGTCCGGGGTTTCCAAAGGGGCAGCGCCCCTTTGGCGGGGTCTAGGGGCAGCGCCCCTAGCGGGGTCCAAGTGGCAGAGCCCCTGGCTGGGTTCCCGCTTCCAAAGCAAATGGAAAATTCAATTTCTTGAGGGTGATTATGGTAAAACTAACGAAACTCGTTAGTTTTTGGTAACCCTAAATCCTCATTAAATCCGGATTAACATTGCTTGCTTCCAAAGCAACTAATGACGGTCCAACCCTAATAAAACCCTAATCGTGTTTAATATATAAACAACTCTTCCTCTACAGGAGGAGGGGGTTACGATCTTAAGCTCTCGTTTCATCATACTTTCACAGAATCCTCTAGCATATTGGCTTACGATTTCTGTGCCTAGAATCGTAAGTGTCCACTTTGATTATCCTAGACTGAATTTCTTGTAACCCAGGCATAGGGTAGAAATATCAGTTCGGAAAGTGATATCACGATCCAAGTTAGTATCCAGATCTCCACCACAAACCCTAAATTTCCCAACAGATCTCGTATCCTTTTTTGTGCAACGTAGTCACAACTTTTATACTCATTGGCGTTTCACATAGTAGAAACACTAATATTGTTACATTGTTCTATGCCAACTTTTATACATTGTTACAATACATGGTACACTAAATTTTATCACTAATATTGTCACATTGTTCACTAAACTTCAAGCAACATATAAACACATGATATTACATTCAAATCTACAATCCCTTAAAAACCCTATCCTAATTTTGTTACAGATAAATAAGTAGTTAATTAATTAATTAAGTCTACATCCGCATCGTTAATTTTAGCATGGCAGCATTTACTTTCTCCTCAGATATCGTTTTATGGTAGTCATAAAAATCTAGTATTTCCGTTGCAATTTTCTCCACCTGTCGAGATTTTATTAAAAAAAATCAATAAATAAATAAACAATCTAAAAAAAACGAATTCATAACAAAATTAATACCATATTCATGTCAACTCGTAGCTGTTCAAACCAAGATGTGTTGTCTTTATCTTTGAACATACTTGCAACATATATGCAAGCTAATGCAATTAAATGTGGTGGGTATATCAGAATTAGGTCCATTTTATATGTGTCATTGATTAGCCCCCTAAAATAATTCAATAAAATAAAATCAAGATTAGACAGGTGGTTTAGAATTCTAATTTATAATTAAAAATAAAAATAATCTTTACCATATCATTTGAGTTGCATCACTCATCCCAGCATCTTGAAGCAGCCTTTTTAGAATAACAAAAATTATAACAAGTAAAATACAATGTCAAACCATTATTTTTTGGCTTTTATTTTGATCAACTTTAATTATACAGTGGTGTTTCTTTTTTACTTAATTTAAACACATGGACTTATTGGATCAAACTCTCGTTTTCTTTAAATAAATAAAAAACTATCCCAAGATTCAGCCTATTCTTCTTGTTTCTTTTTTTGGTATTATTTGTTTTTAAACCTGTTTCTTTTTTAGGATTTAACTTTTGTATTTGAAATTAATTAATAAATACTATGTTCAACTTAAGTTATTAATCAAGATTTTAGTTTTTAATATTTTTATATTGTGGTCATTTACCATTTTGAGTTTATTACCGTTCTCAAGTAAACAAAAAAATATAATTCGGCATCATTTCTAGAGAGAAGGGTAAAATGGTCATTATTCATATTCATAAAAGAAACATTCTATGTGTAAGAGACTTACTGAGACAATGCACGATAAGGATGGAAGACAACTAGATAGTAATTTAGTGCCTCTAAAATTTTCATTTCCATTTCAAGGATTTCTTTGATCTCATATCGATACTTTTCATCAGCATCTACAAACACAAATACAAAACATTTGAAGAATTTTTAGGACACCCTTTTCAAATCCCACAAAAATAATGTGAAAAAAAATGACAATGATCAAGTTTCAGAAAAAAAAATCTTACATAGTTTTTTTATATAAAATACAAGAAGCCTTGCTTGCACTGTGCTTTCTTCTGCTTTTGATGCCAAGTATAGACACGTTGGTGCCACTAAACGTGGATCATATTCCACCATACTTCTCCTAATACAAAATATATGGAAAATTTTAGTAATAATTAATTAGGTTCTAAATGTTTTTTTTTTAATCTTTGATATTATGAAATACAAAAAGATTGGAAAGAAATAGATATACCTCGTATAAGCACGTCTCATGTACGTTACAGCAGTTGCTACAACCCTGAATTAGTATTAAATGCAATGAGAAACTTGCATTTTTTTACTAATAATAGCAGTGTACTCTAAATTGCTAATATAGCATGTTGCTATTATAAGTGAATAAGTTTAAGTAAATTGCTAATATGGTTAGGAAATATATACATTGCTTATATTGGTAAAAAAGAGTAAAGTTAGTTGATATCTCCTGCAATTTATAACAAAAGATTGAGATATAACCTTTGCCTCACTTTCACATTTTGAGCCAATCGCACAATATCTGTAGAAAAAAACATACATAAGAATATGATGTGTTATGAAGTAAAGCATTCAGATGTTACAAGTTACAGCACCAGAAATTCATAATGTACAAAAATATTAGAAGAAAAAAAAAGCAATTTTGAATTCATATCAAACAAAATTGGACTGATTTCTTTTACTTCAAAGTAGATGTCTAAATCTTAAATTTTCAAGCGAAGATTGTTTACATTAGAATTTGTACCAAAGTACTAAAAACCGGAAACTCTAGGAGTTCAATTTGTGATAAAAATCCAAAATCTATATTGAATATGAATTTCATAACTACCAGGTTTGACTTTGACCCACAAGTCAAAGTATGACATTGAAAGAACAAATTCCTGTACTCATCAAGATAGATAACATGAGCTTCACATGAATCTACGATTTTGTTCAAAATCTGTAACTTTTATCAAAGCCTAACTACACAAATCCTGACTTGTATGATCTTCTTAAAGTGCATTTTCCTTCACATAAATGTCAATTCAAATTGATGTATAACCAGTTATGCGTTTAGAAGTACATTAAAGAGATGATGATCATATTCCCTCGCTATCAAAATTCATGCAATGGGAAGAAAAAACGTCCCGAAATAGCAGGAGAGAGAGAGAGAGAGGTACAATTGGTCATATGCAACTTGATGAGTTTGAAATCCTCAAGCGTGATTCCCCTCTCCTTGTCAAGGCTGTGCACCACATCGACATCTTCTTGGTCCAGTAACTGTTTGCTACAGACAACAAAACAGAAAAGCCACAAGCAGAAACATCAGTTCAATGAATCAATTCCATGAAGCGAGTAAGAAATCAATCAAATCGGAGCAGGGATGCTACGACTAAACGCAATTAGATGATTATAACGAGGTTTAGTGAATCTTACTAGTGTGTGGATGTCCAGAAATCAGTCGCCATTGTTGCCGGAAGAAAAGCGCAGAAATTTCTGTGCAGAAAAAGGAATAATTAATGAAGTGGGATCTGACTAGATCGTTGGAGAATATCTTCTCGGTATATGGATCTCGGATATCGACCCGGTTTTTAATCTGGTACCATGTTAATATTGACTTTGAAATCTTCAAATTACTTCAAGTACCTCCATTTTTTACTGTTTCCTGCATAATTTCAATCAATTTAAAAAAGGTGAGATTTTTTTACATTTCAAGAGAACCCATTAGCAAAATCACAACTTTGACCAATAGCAAAATACATGAACCCTAGTTGATTGATTTCAGAAAATCGAGAAGGGCGTTGCCTACCTGTGGTGTGTGACGGGGGGACGGAGCACCAGCGAGGGAGAGGCGGCGACGGGAGGCTGAACGCCGATGAAAGGTTGTAGCGGCGATGAGGGTGGAACGCGCAAGTTTTTTTTTTCTTGTGTCTTCCACATGAAAAGGATGCGTAGACGTTTTTATATATGCAGTGTTCGAAACCCAAAAAAAATTTAGTATCTATGTAGATATAAAAAGTTGGAAGAGTTTATGAAAACAAATACCACCTAAATAATTTGAAAAACGGCGATAAAATCAAATATATTATTTCAATCGATTGATGCATATCTTGGATCATATGCGAATACCAAAAATGAGTCTTCTGGTAAACTAAATGACCCTTGTTTTATCTTGTACATAAATGAATGATTACTGGATTAAAAGCGAAAAAATAATAATAATAGTTTATTTTTATAGTTATTATGTTTCTTATATAATTTATAATTGGTAATTCAAGTAATTTATAACATAATACTTATAAAATAATATGAGGAGATATGTAGTTTTTCTGAAAACAATCAGCATCGTAATGTTGTCAAACTCGTCGAACCTACTCATTTTAGCAACCACTATTGTTTTTGTTAGCATTTTTATCAACTACAACTTATAAAACCTATTAATTGATTAGAATGTTGAACCACAAATGTTATTTGAACTTATATGTAAAATGATCTTTTATAAAATTATGGATGGCAGCAATTTAGTATTATCATCCATTGCTTGTCACAAAACGTTTCATCAAATATCTCTTCTTAGTATTATAAAAGAATATCTAAAATTTAGAAATTTGATTAAATTTTTTATTCAAGTGATACATATTCACTAGAACATATCCATATATGGATATCATTAATTAGATCTATGAGATATTTGTTTGTAATAACCAAATTTAGAAATATTATATACGATATATAAAGGTCGTGTTTTGAACTCATTCACTAATAAATAGACATATTTTGGTTATATTTATCTGTAATGGGTAAAAATGTAAAATCAAGGAAGGCTTAGCTAAGAGAATATTGAATAGCATGTTACAATTTATGTCTCAATAAAATTTGTTTAAAAAATAAAACAAATCATAAGAATCGAATGGAGACAAATGGGGTGTAGATCACTTACTAGCTTAATGGCCATTCGGTGAACAAGTTGTCTGACAAATAAGTTATCATTTACTGCGAACTCAAATTATAACATCCTGCTGCCTATCCGATTTTGAAAACATCATCCAAATTTTTTCGAGTGTAACATTATAATTTCTAATCTTTATTCTATTACTGCATCCTACTTTCCACTACAACAATAATATAACACATAGAATAGCAACGTTTTTTTTTTTTTTTTTTTTTTATGCATTTACTTCTAAGGAATATTTTAGTTGTGATTCTTAGTTTTTGACCACCGGATAGTTGGATTCCTCTTTCACCAGTGTTGTAGCCGTTAGAAATATGGGTGATGAAGCCGTGAGCATTGGTTGTTGATGTGGTTCTTGTGACTTCAATTCCAGAAACTTGGTCAATGAAGTAGCTTTATTAAGTCTTCATTGGTCCTCTCAAGGTATGCCAATCTACAAAAAATTGTTTTCCGAATCCTCTCTAATAAATAAATAACTTTTTGCCACATGTCCTCTTCTCCTTCATTTGGACACATGATATTTTCTAGAATTTTTGAATTTTCTATTTTCCACTTGTCATTTTATTGTATCTTTCATTTTATTAAGTTAAAATTTCACATTTAATATGTAAGGTAATATATATGTAAGGTATTTATTAGAAATGATTTATATATGTAATGTATTCAATACATTTTAAAGCCTCATTAATTTTAATAATTCAAATTTTTTCTCACTTTTCTTATAAATTCAAACTTTTCAAATTGTTAAAATTTCATATTTAATTTGACAAAACTTCAAAAATGGTCCCTGTGGTTTTCGAAAATATCAAGTTTAATCCCTAAGTTCAAAAAACCTCACAAATGGTCCCTGTGGTTTCAAAACTTTTAACATTTGGTCCTTCCGGCTCACTCCGTTAGCATTTCACCGTTAAGTAATGGGCATTTTTGTCAGTTCACTACCCAATGACCATTTATGAGGTTTTGTATTACTTTTTTTTTAAATAAATAAAATTTAATATGCAAGGGGTCCCACCCTCTCCTCTCTCTCTCTCTCTCTCTCTCTCTCTTAGTTCGTCTCCTCCCCTTTCTCTCTTCTTCCCCATTCTTCTTCTTCCTCCAGAAAAAAAAATCCCCCTGCTTCCCTGTTGTCTGCAAGCAAACAACTGCAACTCTGATGCCTGTCTCAAAACGACCTTCAACAAATTCTCTTTCTCTACATACGCTTCCTTTGATGCGTTTTCTGATTCTCCTCCTCGTTAAAGAATACAAACCATTTATACTTTTCTAAAGAACCAAATGATGGTGATTTTGGGGTTAATGACTCCATTTGATTCATGTAAGACTTGATCTGATAACCATGAACAGTAGATGGTTGATCATCGAACCCAACAGAATCCTGGGATTCGAAGACCACTAGAAGATGATTGAAAGCGAAGGCTATGGTATCGCTTTTCACCAGGGTCCATCACATTGAGGTTTGATCGTTGTGCATACGATTCTAGTATTTGCTTTTGATTCGATAACAATGAAGACGATGTAACACCCATAAAAATTGAGCCAAATTAAAACATTTTAATTCATTCAAAACCATTCAGTTCATACATCTCGTTTTCAAAATAGTTTAAACATCAGAGTATCCCCAAGGACCATATCACATAAATCATAAAACATGAGGAGCGGTACGATCACGCCTTCGCCTTGCCACGATCTCCTGAAGTACCTGAAACAATACACTGAATTGTAAGCCCGAAAGCTTAGTGAGTTACCCCCAAAATACCAACCACACATAAACATACTCATTACCCCCCAAAAAACCAACCACAGCCATAAACATACTCATAACATATCACAAATAGAACAGCCATGCACAACGGGTCTATTGTATGACTGGTCTGCCCGCACCGGGCCTTCAGTCCACCTGGTCCACCCTCCGAATTTAGCCATGTACATCGAGTCTACAGTGTGATTGGTCCGCCGCACCGGGCCTTCAATCCACCTGGTCCACTCTCTGAGTCTACAATATGACTGGTCCGCCCACACCGGGCCTTCAGTCGGCCTGGTCCACTCTCCGAGCCTCGGCACGTCTGGTCCGCCCTCTTGGGGCCTTCAGCCTATCCGGACCGCTCGCCGGGCCTTCGGAATATCCGGTCCGCCCTGGGTATGTTGGCCTACAGCACAAAGCAGGACCCGCCTCAACCCAACCCCCGTCATAAACAACGTATAACAAATAACCAGACAAACAGTCTAACAGATCACATACATATCAACATCCTAACCATGACCTAATCACTAGATTTACCACCTTCCGATAATAGGGTACCCGGCCATTGGTGCCGGTTAGACCCTGTCGATATAGTGAGGATAACTCACCTGCAATTGCCGACTGAAGAGATACGACCAAGCTGCTCCGACCACCGACACGAACTTCACCACAGAACACTACCAAAGAACCAATACCAAAATTACCAAAATACCCTTGGAAGTCAAACTGGTCAACTCTTGGTCAAAGTCAAAGTCCTCAGTCAAAGTCAACCTTCCTGGTTGACTCTACTCGCCGAGTCAGCTCCTCGACTCGCCGATTTCTTATACTCAGAAAACTCCCATAACACGACTCAACTCGTCGAGTCACCCCAAGACTCGTCGAGCTCAACGATCTCGGAATCCCATCCTGTCCAACTCACTGAGTCACCAACCAACTCACTAATCCAAAGCTTTAACCAAAAGAGGTTGGGTTCTGCGACCAGACTCGCCGAGTCCAAGAACAGACTCGTCGAGTCCAAGGCAATCTTCAACAGACTCGCCGAGTTGTTCTTCCACCTCGTCGAGTCCAAGGCAATCTTCATACAACTCGTCGAGTACACCCATGTGACTCGCCGAGTCTCTCCAGTTCTCAATCCATACAGAGGCTTTTCGAGCCATGCAGGGGCTCCAATCCATAGATCCACTCTTCTACAGCCTAACCCTCACGTAAAGTTGCAAACTTTATTTGAAACCAAGGAGATATAAGCCCAAAACACTCTAGGGTTAGGTTTTATGACAAAGGGGCTTCACCAATAACTCTTAGACAGGAGCTTTATGACATTATGGACCATCACAAGCCTAGATCTGAAGTAGCAACTTCAGATCTAAGCCTCTAACTCGAAATATCTCACAATCATACCAAAAATGCCCCAAATCTCAAATGATAAAAGATCTAGGATACAAAACAGCCCAAGAAACAGATTAATACCTCCAATATATGCTCCAACTGAAGTAGATCCCGGATCTACACCACTCCTATGCAGTAAGTCTCTTGATCTTCAAGCCCCTTTTCCAAGATTTTCTCCTCCAAGGCTCTATTCTCTCTATTAATGGAGGCTCACTCGAATCTAGGGTTTCCTGGAACTCTCTGGGAGAATAGGAGGCTGGGAGAAGGACATAAAGTCCTTTAAATAGGGTGCAACCCTCGGGATTAGGGTTTTCTTATTCCAGCACCAACTCGTCGAGCACGTCTTCCGACTCGACGAGTTGGCCACTTAACCCGCGATCAATCCCGCTCCGACTCGACGAGTAGCACACCTACTCGTCGAGTAGCTTCCTTAATTTACACTTAGCACCCTCCAACTTCTTGCTTCCGAACTTGGGATGTTACAATTCTCCCCCACTTAAATTAGGCTTCGTCCTCGAAGCCTGCGGCAACACAAACTTCCGGATGATACTCCTACAATGCATCCACTGATCTCAAACCGACCTAGATTCCTTCAAACACAGTTATCGAATCCTTAAAATCCACCTCTTCCCTTGCAGGGTCCTGATAACTGCTTCAAGCCGGCCACCGGCTTCTTTTCTCTGATGACAACACTCATCAACTAAGTGCCACCTGAAGACACTACCTTACTTCCGTCTTACGCATTCATTCGCCACCTGCGAAAACTGGATACCATTCTAAACCACCGGGTCTTGACCCAGTATTAAATCGCTATCTTTCGCCCAACTGGCACTACCCCTATTAACTTGCACCGATGGAAACTCATCCCGTTTCCTCCCTGGATCAAATCCCTTATCGCGCTGACATGATGGAACATTTCACAGCTTCCGAGCAACCCTCCTGAACACCCAGCTATAACGTTCATACACATCGTACCTGGACCAATCAGCCTCGGGCTGGAAGACCAGGCACGCCTACGATGGTCCAGCCATCCCTAGGAT